GAAAATTGCATGGTGAGATTAACTGAATTCATTACAGAGCAGCCACAATTTTCCTAATGTTTTTTTTTCCCTTTCTTTCTTTAACTCATACAGATTAAAGTTCATGTTCTGTGTGAATTAATCCTCACCAAACACCAGAGGATTATTAGAGCGTTTGTCTCCCTTTTTGTCAGACAGATTGCGCGGTGCTTGATTTTATGTTCACTTCAATGCATCGCGGATCAGTGAATTCACCTAGCTAACAGTCGTGATCGCTCCTTCCTGTGGATTCTTCTGAATAAAATCACATTTACACATTTAGGGAAATTGCGCGTGTGTGCGCGTGTGTGTGTGTGTGGGTGTGTGTGTGTGTGCGTGGGTGTGTGTGTGTGTGTGTGTGTGTGTGTGTGTGCGCGTGTGGGCGTGTGTGTGCGTGGGTGTGTGTGTGTGTGGGGGTGTGTGTGTGTGTGTGTGTGGAGGACGGGGGCAATATATGACAGATAAAGAAATAAAAACTGAATCCAGAATAAATAGATCCTGCTGCTGTATTTATTTTTTACAGGACTGACTGATTATTAGTTATTATTAAGAAGAAAAAGCAACAGAAATGCAAAGCTGGCATCAGATCATGTTGAATATCCAGCATCCTATAAAAATATTTAACTTCTTTTGGAGTGTTTTATTGGACAAGAAGATATTATTTAACAGCCAGTTATATATAATCCATGTAGGTACTAAAGTACGCCAAATTCAAGCTCAGTTATTTACAGGCCACTTTGGTACAGTTGATCCAAGACCTCAGTCACATTGAATTGATCATAAAATGCCAACAAATAAAGAAATGCAACCTTTAGTTGCTGGCACTGCAGGAATCTCTTAACCTGAGCAAGCCTGCGGAGGAACAACAACCTCCGACAAGAGGAAGCCTCAAGCAGAGTCAGACTCAGGAGGAACAGCTGAGAGAAAAGATGAGAAAAAATATATATACTTGCAATTTGAATAAAAGGCAAGGAGATATGGAGTGAAAACAGTCTCCTGTCTACTATCTGCTTTGTAAGTAATTTTCTGACCTTTTCTTTGAGCACCAGATTTGCTCAGGCTAGTGGTTCCTACTGCTGAGGTTTTGACTGAAGTGTTTTTCGTTGCACATTTGTGTCAGCCGCTGCCTGGCCCTTCAACGTGTCTCTTATTATTCATCGAGTCACGCTGTATGGAGGCTAATGTTGCACAAAACACTTGGCAAGTGCCACAGACCATTCCACGAGGCAGTCGATAATGATGATGATTGTACTATGCGATTTTCATGACTCACTCTTTAATTGTATTCTCCATGGTAAGTTAGATCGACATTTATATCCCAATATTTATTCTGAGGTCGTTATTTTCGCAGCTTTTGGAACGCTTTGGCGTTCTGGTTCTGTGGTCATCAGGTTTCTCAGCTGGGATAAACAGAGTATTGTCCGAGCCATTTTCACCTGCGCTCCCTTCAGATTGCTATTTGAAAACCGAGATGTGACTGATTATTCTTCCATAAAGGCCGTAGGCGCGCACGCACACGTTCGCTCATCTCCAAATGAATGATCTGCGGCGGGCTTAATGGGAATCAGATGAGAGGCGAGACAAACGTACCCACTGGGACGAAACCCAGCAGCAACAGGCTCTGAGCACTCACTCAGCTTTCGGCGATAAAACGGAAACGGTTCATTTTCCAAATTTAAAAGAAAAAAAAAGTAAAGAAGAAACTTCATTTTCTAAATTGGCGCTGGTATTTATACGGTTTTACGGCCTTAAATGTTGAAGGAGAACCACCGTGTTTGAATTCAGACATAAATAATCAAGTCTCCCACAAATTTAGTGAGTAAATTACATTATTGTCTGCACAATTCTCTCGATCCTTGGCTGCTACAAGATAAGTCTACCAACTCAGCAGCATTCCTTCTACCTAATCTAGTTATCCGTGATGAAAATGTTCAATTAACTGCCAGCAGATCCCCACGTTCTGTGCAACAAGCTGATTATCCCCACAGCCTTTGCAGTGAATTCCCAGCCGGCTGCAGCAACGTCTGCACATTATGGCGACATTGAAATATCGCTTGATTGACATTTCAGTTGATTTGGATTAAAACGCCTATCTGTTTTCTAGCACAGAAAAAATAAAAACAAAAAAATCAGCATTGATGTCATAACAAAACACTTTTGCACAGAAAGTTCAGCTACAGAACGGTTCACCCAAGAGTCAAACTAATTCCTGGGGAGACGAGAAGGAGATGTTGTCACATCTTAAGATAACCAGAGTTTTTGAAAAATGTCCTTAGCAGCTTGTGAGAACTGGATTTTATTTCTATTTTCTCTGCCTTATTTTGCGTCAAGTGAGGGATGCTTAACAGTTTTATTCCCCTAAGTCATTCAGTGATTAAACACCGCTGGTAAGTTTGACAGGACTGATGTAAGGAAGTGCTATGTGAAAATAAATTAGACCTCTAGCCAGCCCAGGTTTTTGCAGCCATTTTTAACCAATATTCCAACCCTAAATAACATTTTTTCCGGGGATCCAGCAAGAAACAAAACAAGGTTTGAACAATAACTTAAGCTACAATCTGCAAAACTCAGTTCCAGTATTTTTATTATTATGTTTGGCTAAAACCCCATTTTTTGTGCGTGTAACCGTTCACAATGCTGAACAAATGTGACGGCAGTCAGGCTTATCTGTGAACGGTTCACACAGAGAACTCTAAAGGAAGTAATAATGTACTACAGAGAGATCAATCAAATAATTGTCTATAGATCGATAATAAAGATACAGAGCAGGGAGAGCTGACAGTATTATCACGAGATCGTAACAAGACAAAGCGGGCAAAGAAAAAGAAAGCGCAGCCTAATCGCGATGGTCTTCTGCTGCATCGACTGCAGAAGTCTGTTTGGATGTGCAGTGAGACCACTAGTGGTGTGAGAGTGATGTGCTTCATTGACATAGACCTCCTTTGTAAGTTCATCATTATAAACTGCAGCCATTTTTTCCATCTTTTTATTTACGTTCTGGCAAAGGAATGTGATGCGCGATTCACGTCAGCGACGCAAACGTCGGTTGAAGTGCGACGTGACTGTTTAGAGTAAGGTTAAAAATGATGCATCCAAATTTATACCACATATGGAAGTGGTGCAAATGAAATTTTTGGGGGAAAAAGAGGCAAAAACAATTAATGAATAAAATAAAATAAGAGATTTGGGTCAATAGCCTAGGAATTGCTCATTAGAATATTTGAAAGTATTTTGGATTTAAACTTAAAGATGATCAAATGCTGTCTGTTACTTAAAACAAAGCAAAACAGTGAAACAGTCTTTCAGCGTAGTGCGGACAGGAAGCTGCAAATTACAAGTCAATGTCTCCCCTGCTAACCAGCTTCAAGGTAATTCAATATTCATTAATGTAGTTTGTACAGAAAACCAGCCGGGGAATTTCAGGTAACGTTGGGACTAACATTGTTGATTTGGGACAGACATTTTTTATTATTTTTTCTTTCTAGTGACACAAGATGGGCTGTAGTGGTGTCCACTGAGTCAGAACAGATCACTGAACTTCAGCCAAGGGTAAATCCTCGCTTCAAAATAGAACAAAACTGATGAGCTGTCACACGCAGTGCCCTCCTTCGGCTCTACTCCTGCTAGCTTGATTTTTTATTTTTTTTTAAAGGCTTGTATGGGCATCCGATGGGGGACGTGGGTGTTTTGACACCCACCCATTTTACTCAATATGTGAGCTGGCATGTGCCACACCACCAGCCAAGATCTTTGTGTAACATGCTGATAAATATAATCTGCATCACCTTTTCCGGGCAAAATAGATGCGCTCCCGCAGAGCATCAAGACGCAGCAGTGTGCTGCCATAAAGTGATGAATTATTCAGTAATCTTGCAGCTCAAAATCTTTTTTTTTTTATTTTATTTTACATCCTTTAAATGCGCCAATTATTGGACAAGCAATGAAGTCAATGTATTTACGTCTCTTGGTTGCCATAGTGACTGAATACAAACAATACCAGTTTTACACCTGCTTTGCAAAAACTGCATCGAGCAGACGGGTTCTAAACCCACGCAAAGCTAAACTTATTGCGCCTGTGATTCTCCTCGTTTTGCTACAAAATCCCGTTTGCGTATGTGTTGTTTGCAGATCAGGTTTGCACTTGATATCAAGTTTGTGTCTGTTTTTATGCACGCGAACCTTTGGCAGATCAGGCCCTGAGGATGTAGGAAAACATCAAACTCTCCAGCTTCCTCACTCAGAAACTTGACCAAGTTTATCACTGTGTGATGTAAGTGCAGCAGCACATAGGCCATACACACTCTATATATTTTTTTTTTCTTTGCACTCCAGTATCCAGTGACATTTTGTTGCCAGACTCTTTGTTGTGTCTTTGTGCGATGACAGTCTACGTCTCTAAGGAAAGGGATCTGGCCAAGAAAAAGCAAATTCCTTTAAATGTATTAAACAGCAAAAGATCAGAAATATGCACCTTATTTAATTCAACACGCTGGAGGAATGAAACAGGTGTCGCCGTGACTTTATATGTCCATAGCATATGAACCAAATTGACCAAGGAGAATCCTTACCGTCTGTGATCAGCTCAGAAAACATGGCTGCCTTTATTTTTTTTTTCTTCGTCTTTACATATTTTACTAATTACTTTAAAAGTAAAAATGTTTCACCTGGGGGGTCATTTCTCAATCCGCCTAAGGTAGTAAACATTGACTAACATTGTTTTTATTTGGTTGTTTTTTTTTTACCACCAGATCTATAGTTGTAATTTGGACATTGCTATGTAATGTTGAAATATGGATTCATATATAAATGCAATATCATATATTGCTAATATAAATAATATGTAACATTTTCTTTAATGTTCATCAGGTTTGTAAAAAAATAAAATAAAATAAAATATGAAGGGAATGCGTTCTCCATTAAAACCAGTGAGTTTTGCCCTTGGACTAAATGCCCATGTCTCCCGTTTTCTCTGCTCTGTGCAGGTGGCCATAAATTTGTGACAGAGGGGGAACATTTGGAGCTGATCTCGATCACCAAAGAGCAGTCAGGAATATACGAGTGCATCGCCTCGAACGACATCTCCAGCTCTGACATCAGGAGAGTGCAAGTCACAGTCAACTGTAAGCACCAAGCCGCCGTATTCACGGTCAGAATGGAAATGGCTCTTAACTTCCAGACACAAACTTGATATCAAGTTTGTGTCTGGGGGTTCGGGATGCCTGGAGCTGTTTTGGTTGCATATCATTTCCTTGCAAAAAGAGGAACAAACAGAATGCTTCCGACGCAGGAAGTCACACTCACACAAATAAATATCTGCTACTTGATATATTTTTATTTGTTTCATATGAAAGATAGTTTAATTAGTACTGGATATGCATCTACAGTTTTGATTAAAAGCAATACATTTCAATTCTGGACCTTATTGGCTTATTAAATTGTGGCACTTGTGGCCCAAGTTATTTGTGTTTCTGCTTGTGTTTTAGATGTGGCTTTTGAATGCCATGTCGAGATGCTTCCTTTTGACATACAGAATTATCTTCGTGTCCAAAATCAAAATTTCCCTGCCAATGTGTGGTTATTAAGTGCAAAGCAGAAGAAGAACTCCAGAATCAGTGCAGCAGTAGCTGGAATGAAGCAATATTTGCGCTAAAACTGCATAAAACTGGATAATAATAATTGTTTTATGAAATTCTGAAATGAAATAAAGAGATGATTTTTCTTTTATCAGAGAATTTCAGCAAGGTCACCTCAAACAAGAAAACTATTTCATTCTACCTGATTGAATGTTTACTGTTTTAAATGTCTCCGAATTGAGCCGTTTGTCTTCATCGCCATGTCAATGAATGTCAGGCAGCAACATAAAGGATGTGTGGTTTGCCTCACAATAAGGAACAAGTTTTAAACTGGAATTCTGTTTCAACTTGACCCATTTTTATGGTAACAGTTTGATTTTTCTCATTGAATTAATGTCTTTTGGGAAAACCACAAACTCACCTGGTGACAGCCAACGATGTTGCTCATGATGACTTGAATCAGACATTTGTGTAATTTGCTAATTAAAAGAAATAGTGTAATTTCTGAGAAGATTATCCACCAAAACACTTGATTTTGAGGAAAAATCAAGTGTTTTGGTGGAACCCCCCTCCCCCCACATTTCTCCAAGATGGAACTCGCCTCAACATAACACCTGCTTGACACACGCAGAATTATCCCATTCGCATCAGCAGGTGGAAATCTTAGGGTGCCATCTAAAGAGAAAAAGAAATCAGACGTTGGACTAGAGAGGATTCTGCTTTGATCGACATATAACTTTCCACTGCTGATGGATAATTAATGCATTGACGGAGTGAGACGGTTGACGGCTGCTTTAAAAGCTAACGTTAACAATGCGAACAAAGGAGCGTCCGCGTCACATAAACCTGACCAATTAATAATTAAAGTTAAATTCTATGTTTGAGAATGTTTGATCTGAGCTCAAGGCTGAAAGTCTGGAAAGAAAAAGATGTTTTCTTTCCTTCTTTCTCTCTTGTGTCTGATTCTAAAGTAAATAACATAAAAACCAACCACCATTTTCTTTTTTTAGAGGTTTTTATCGTTAATTGAAATGATAAATCATACATGGCTTGATTAAACTAAAACCTTTGTTCATGAGGGAAGCCTTCTTCTATTTCAAACAAGTGGGATTTTCTTCTGAGTTATAAAATTATGTGTATTACTTGTTTTACTGGAAGGTTTGTCCAGGTTTCAGTTAGATAAAGTGTCTGAAAAGTGGAGCAGTGGTTGGGTCTCAGAAAATAAATATCAGTGGTTCTCTCTGAACTGGGCTCTACTTATGTGGAGTCTGGCAAAGCTGCATTGTTTTCATATAAGGAACTTCAACTGTAGGTTAATAGAAAATCTACCCTTCAGTGTGTAACGTGTGTTTTGGCTTAAATCTAAAACGTCAGCTTTGGAGATAACGCTGTTAATCTTATTGTTTCCAGCAACGAACGTAGGTGTCTCTATAGACTTCCCCATTCTATTTGTCCTCTTCCTACTTTGTCACTTATTCCCTAAGGTTTATCCTCAGCTCTGCAATACAGCACTGAATAATTTAATTGGAATAAAATGGGATAAATGATTAGTACAATTAATTCCCTTTAGTTGCCATGGGGGGAAAAAAAGAATATAAACTATGTGCAACATGAACAGTAATAATTATGATGACATTTCATTGCCAATTTCACTTATGCTTCTTTGTCCAATGACAATAAGACAAGTCTTAACTTATCACCACCCAATCAGAGTTGAGTTTTTAGTGATAATTTTACATTTCTTCACGTTTATGTTTGGAAAACTGAAAAAGGAGGGGTGTGGAACTTATATATTTTGTTATTATTCCTTAAATGTATCTTTTTTTCACCCCCTCTTCATTTTTAGACCCTCCCTTCATTTCAAAGGCGAGGAGTACGGGCACTCCGGTTGGACAGAGAGGGGTTCTGCAGTGCGAAGCCTCTGCCGTTCCCAGGGCAGACTTTGAGTGGTACAAAGAAGACCGCAGGCGAGTGTAGCTTCTCTGCTTCCTGTGTCTGTGACAACAGCCTTGGAAACAACAACACTTAGTCTTTTTGTTTTTCTCATCGCCATTGGTTTCTACACAGGATTCGGTGACTTTTCATAGCATGTCACTTGGATCTGTGAACGAATAAAATGTTTATTCGTGTTCGATGAAAAAGAAAGGATTTACTAAATGAAATCCTGATTATTATTTATTGTCTTTTGGAAAAGAAAAAATGAATGATCTCTGGATTAAAATGCAGCCGTTGCTGGTTTTTGCTGTGGACGTGTTTCATTCAAAATGAAGGAATTTTTACTAATGTAACTTGTCAGAGATTAGAAAATTCATTTATGAAAAGCATGTAACCTGGTAAACTATTCTTGACAGAGGGTTGTATTAAAACTTTCAATGGTTTAGCACTTATGGAAGTGTTTGGTTCTGTTGGAATTTGGTAAAACTTGAGAAAGAAATTAATACAGTTAGTCTAATAGGCAACTAAAATCACAGCATTTGAATGCACTCCATTACGTTTAATTTACACGGCACGTAAACTGTTGATGTCTAAAACTGAAAGTAGACCTCTGTTGCTATGGAAATGATAAGGACTGTCTTTAAGTCATGTAAAATACAAAGTGAAACCTTTTTTTTCCCTCATAATAAAAACCTGCAACATAAAATGAAACGGTTGTCACTTATCCGGACTGACACTGGAAATGCTCTTAAGCCATTTTACCATTTGTTGGTGCTTATTGAACACCAGGTGACAAATTTTAACATTTCTGTTACATTCCAGCAGGTTTTACAAAGTGCACAAATAAATGACAGACTGTCTTTCCATACATCCATCAGTCACTTTGCAGAGATCCAGAAATTTAAAACATTTCATGTCTTTTTGTTCTGCTCTGGTCACCAGCTGTAAATAATGTAACGTTTACCTGAGTGGACCAAACTCAGAAATCAGTGCAGGGTTTTTGAGTGCATATATTGAATCAATAAAAATCAATCAAAAACCTGTTACAAACAAATAATAGTTGCGTAGAAAAAAACCCCAAAAAAGCAACCAGAACCAATTAATGTGCTACATATGGAAGGACATACTATGGCTAAGAAAAAAAATATTTAAAAAAAGAGGGTTTTTTTCATAAATGAAGTGGTAAATATTACAAATAACTGTAGAAATGTTTGATACAGAATAAGAATTCAGATTTATTTCTATTTCAAGCTGATTGTATATGTGATAAAACATCTGAGCTAACAGAATGAGGATGAATTGAAAAGCATAGATTATTATTGTCTGAACCCTCACCGTTCTGGAGTTTGATAGATTGTCTTTATTTCACAGGCTTCTCAATGGAATAAACGGTCTTAAGATAGAGACCCAAGGAAAACAGTCACTGCTCATCTTTTTCAATGTCTCAGAAGAAGACTATGGGAACTACACCTGTGTCGCCATGAACGCCATGGGAAACACTAATGCCAGTATAATTCTTTATGGTGAGTATAGAGATAATTTAAAAAGTCCTGACAATTCACACATTCTACATTGTTGTAGAAAGTTCTGGTTCTTTGTGCAACTCACTGCATGTTAGTCTACTTTACTATTCATCAGCTGCATTGTTATCCAACACTGGAAAAGGACCTTAAAGAAAATAGGGAGGCTGACGAGTAGGCCAAATAAATAATGCAATAAAAATAATGGAATGTATTTTGTTCTCTTAAGCCAAACACTGTCTGAAAAATTTCTGTATGTTTATATTAAAAAGGGCTGCAATTAGATTTGTGAAAAATTCCCAGGTGACCCCTGTGCGCAGGCTGCAAAGCTCCTTAAACCTTCCATGAAACCCAACATGCCATTGCTACAAAACATCCATGTTTATTTAATCTTTTCAATTTAAATATGCCTGCTTTATCACTCCCTTTTAAAGGCTGAAATAGACAGCAAGCACTGAGTGATTTCTGCATGTTACGAAAAAAACTGCTGCAGTTTCAGAGCTAGAAGGAGGGAAGATAAAGTTTTAGTCAAACAGTAAAAGTGAAGATTTTGAATCCTTCATAAAAATAACGAATCACCTGGAGTGTCGCTTTCACTCTTTCACGCATATTTGAGAAATCCTCAAATCTCATGAGAAAGCATTTAACCCGGTAAACTATTCTTAACAAAGGGTTGTATGCAGAGTCGAGCCGAGTGATCCTCCGCTAGGAGTTGTATGTTTGAGTTTCTGCGAGGACGAGCTCAGGGACGAGAGGGGTTTGACAAAGCCACTCCACGTTAAGTTGATCTCCACTGTCAAGAGAAGTGGAGTTTCGATGACTTTACTGAGACCTTCGGGACAACTAAGGATGAAGAATCTGCATCTTCACATCCCAGCATCCCAGATGAACCTCTTCTTCTCTCCAGGGAATGAGGACGCAGACCTGCAGGAGGGTGTTGGACTCCCAGCATGTGAAAGGTCTGACCTCGAAGAGGGGGTGTCGAGAAAATCCGAGATCATCCCACTTCCCCATGCTGGAGATTTTATTTAACCTTTAAAATTAGTCACACAAATCACATCTAGATCCAACAGTAGACCCAGACTGCAATAAAATAAATCTGGTTGTGTGTGTTGCTTTTGTCTCCTGCAAACTTAGCTTTAATTATACTTATTTTGTCTATCTAATCATAAGAAATCATAGTCAGAGAGAGAGATGAGACAGGAAGAGCAGGTTTCCTGGAAAAAAAGGAAATAAGTTTCCAGCTTGCAGCTGTATAAAAATAGCTGAGACCAGTCCTTGTTTAAAAGCATAAAAGTTTCAAAGGATAAAATCTAAACATTTTGAGTAATTAGATAAGATTTAAAGTAAAGTACTTATATTAATATTGGTTTACTTATAACAATACTTACTTACACTTGTGGAAAAACGTACAAGTAAAACAAGTAACTGTAACTTTGGTATCAAATAATAAAAGAGTAATAAGTTGTGCTAATCATAAAATTATAAATGAATGCTAAATTAAAGAAACTAATAGGTTTATGAATGTGATTTTAACATTGAACTTGAAATGGTGTAAAACGTGTAACTGCTATTAAAGATCACTGATGATGTGTTGGAGGTAGATAGTAGGTGAAAGGTTAGGGGTAAAATGGGGACAAATGGGAAAGCAGAGATGCACCTGCGCATGGGGACCAATCCATCAGCCCCGCAACATGTGGCTTCAAATCGCACTTCTCTCATCGGCTGGGTTCAGACCCCACAGACAAAGATGAAGATCAAGGCAAAGATAAAGACCAAGGAAAAGATGAAGATCAAGGCAAAGATAAAGACCCAAGTCCTGTGTGACCTCATCATCGATTCAGAGATGGCAGCTCATCAGACCAACAGAGATCCCTGCCTTCGTCAATCAACCTCCGCCTGCTGCAACACCTTCTTCATCATCGATCCAGTTCTGGGGTTCGAAACACCAAACTTCGTCCGTCTCTTTAAAGGTTCCCTTTTTAGTTCTTGGTATCAGCATTAGGGAAAGATAGGCTAGATGATTGATTTTACTTATTTAATTATTTCTGCTACTTAATTAAGCTGTACTGACCCTTGCAAAATTGCTTTACTAATAAAATATTTAGCAATAAGAAAATCTAAAAGATGTTGTGGACATTCAATCAATGAGTCACCTCAAAGTTCTTTGATGGTAGTAAAATAGCTGAACTTGTCTTGAACTACAACCTGATCATATGTTCCCGTCTTCTTATTTCGTCTACTGTCAAATCTTGATCCAATTACACATTCAATTGGTTTTACAGTTTCCCACTTGGCTTACAAAAATTTTGATCTTTTGTATTCAGAGTTTAGAATTGTGAAAGGATTCTCAAGTTCTTCAAAACATGCTTCAACTTTCTTGCACATTATAGTGTGTCTTTCTCTGCTAAATACATTATTTATTACAGTTTCTTTCGCGTGATGTTGGATGTCTTTTACAATCTCTTCCATGGAAATCACAACAGAATTCACCAAACTTTGGCCAACACCTGCAGCCTACATATCTGAAATTACCAATGCACAACTATTTACAATGTTTGTCGAAGATAAATCTGTGTCAGCTTCTAAACATTCAGTCACCATTTCAACATTTGTGTACAGAAAATTTTCGTAAGGTCAAACCTCCCCATCTTTCACAGATTCAAATGAACCCCTAAGATGACATCTATTTAGATGCTTTCTAAAACCAGAAAAGCTACCAAAAGAACGTGAGCATCCTACTTCACCACATTTAATATGGAGAGTCCTGCCAGAACAAAGACCATGGATTAGTTTAAGGTGCTTAACTAGGCTGTTTGGGGCATCACTGTTTATTATCTGTCTTCTGGTTGCATCTGTCAAGCATTTAGTTCTTGCATACTCTTGTATAATATGCTCACCACCAGGCTTTGTTGTCAAGATTTGCTCAATCAACTTCAATTTCAAAGAAAAAAATATTAAAAACTTGAACCACTAAACCTAGAAAGTACATAAACAATGCTAAATTAAATATAATAACTTGCCGCTTGCGCCTCATAATTTATGTGACATGGCCTTTTAGGTTGACTTCCTTCAGCAGTGGCTTCTTCTTCTGATTGGTCATACTTTGTGAAATTCAGAATGACAGTGTCATCAGATTTTGCGTGCTATGAACCACAGCACCTGTTTTAAAGTGAACTGTCACTAAAGTTTCTGTGCAAACACTGAAAATGAATCAAATAAATTTGCAGATATGGAGTAACGTTCTGGTTCTTCTGCAGGCCCGGGTGCAATGCATGACGTGAACGGGACGCCCATGTTCCGCTGCTGCTCCCTCTGCCTCCTGCTGACTGTAACCTTATCCCACCTGCTCATGTTCTGATGAAAAATGTGACCCTCACTCCGAGCTTCTCGCAGCACTGAGCAACAAGAACAGACGATTTAGTCCTTTGAGAAGAACAGGAAACCAAGAATGCCACTGGCTCACACTCTTTGCTTTCTTTCGTATTTCCTTTTACGGCTTTACATCGGAGTCTGTTCTCTGTCGGTTCACCAAGAGTGACAGGAAACTGTGGAGAGAAGGGAAAAGTTTAAACATGCACTAATTTGATGATGGTAAAACTACAGAGTTTGTGTGTGTCCACTCCCCCGCCCCCAACCCTCCCACAAGACCTTTTTTTTGTATGTGAAATAGGGGAAAAAAAAGAAAAAAAATGTGTGTTACTGTTGATAGTTGACTGTTTATTGCCCAATATTGAAGTGTAAATTCAGATTAATACTATTATTGTGTGACATCTGTTCAATATCTGTACAGTACCAGTAAGCTTTTTTAAGTCAATGACAAAAAAAAAGAAAAGAAAAGAAAGGGAAATAATGCAATGTGATTGTTGAATTTCACTGTATTTTTTACAGTTGTATGCAAAACAGAAAAAAAACGCTGGTCCTCCAAGGCGATCAGTCGAGAATACTACAGAAGACACCATTATTTCTCAGGCAAAGTCCTATAGCATAGTGCATCCTTATTTTCTCCTTGATCATGGTGTGTGTAGAAAATGTACAAAGTGAACAGTTAACTCCTGCACTCTGAAAAGGAATTCATTTGGGAGATTTTTTTTTCTTTTTGTTTTTCTCTTTTCTCTCTGAAACACCTCGTCATCACAGGGTCATAGCAGCTTCAAGGCACGTTCATACCCACAGTCTGAATTTCGAGTCGTGCGACTCACTGGTGTGACTTTTGCTTCAAAACAAAAGCGTTGGGAGGGACGACGGTTCGGTCTGCACGCTGTCGGCTTCACAGCTGACGCCTGCTTGACAGCGTTGCGTCTGGTTTACTTAACGACGTTGTGCTTTTTGCATTCTTAATAAGCGTTTCGGTTATTTTTTTGTCATTTGTACCTTTTGTTCCCAAACCATTTTTTGTTCCCCTCTGTGCTCCAGACTCCTTATTTTGAACAAGCCAAGGTTATGTCATCCATATCTTCTTCGACAGCCACAGTGGTCCTCATGCTTCTTTTTTGAGCATTAGACCTCTATGCAAACCAGACTTTATGTTTAGATTTTACAGCCGTTTTTTTCGACATTTAAGGGAAAACACACGACAGGTTAGTCCTACTAAATCTTTATTCTATTTATTTTTACAGTTTATTGTTTGACATTTTATTTATTGTTGCCGGGAAACGGAAGTAAATCTTAAATGTGCAATGTTCACACTTAAAGCAATCGTTCCTCTCAATTCATTTCGGTATAAGTATTATTGAATATCTGGGGCGTTTCTGATCCGGATTCCAGTGAGGCTGAGACTTCAGGACGTTCATGGTTTTAAATTTCTGTCTACCACAATGGTGGACGCGTTTGACATCAAGCAATTTGAAGCAAACTGTCTCGCCATAAATTTCAGAGGGGGGCCGGTGGCATTAGAAATATGTACGTGAGAAATATGAGACCATCTGAAAGACTTTTAGCAAAAGCAGAACAAAAACTAGAAACACTGTAAGAGGAGAGATATCTTCTTTTCCAAAATTGGCTGTAAATCGTGGTACTGGCATCTAAGCATCGTCAGACTTTCATCAGGATCTCCTGAGTCATTATTCAGGACTGTGATTGAGACACCTGCGTGGCATCGGGACATCCTGGCTTTTTATTGTCTCGTCTTACCATCTCCATCAAACTTCCATCTTTTCCTGTATTTATTATTCATTCTACATTACATATATGCTGTCATGCTGCAGTCATGTAAGACTGTGAAAGAAAGAGAGAGAGAGAGAGAGAGAGAGAAAAATTTAGACTTGAAATGTTTGTTCTGTCCAGTCATCCAGTGAGTTAGCTGAAGCTAGCTGAAGAATTTCTTTGGTTAGAGCGAAACATCTCACTAATGTCAACACGTATGAATGTTCCCTGTAGCTGCTATGAAGTGACATTCATGTGTTGTGAATGTGAACTTTTAACCCGATGTGCCCGACATCAACAGTGGGAAGCTGTTTTTTCTGGACCGGCGGACTGACGTTCAGGGGACAAATTTCAGTCGACCATTTGACCAAGTTCCTGACTGAGAGCTGCAAGCAGTTGCCGACGCGACGTCCCTCCGTCGTTCGCTCCACTCGTGTAAACCTACGAATAAGAGTCGTGTTAAAGACAAAAAGAACCTGGTTGAGACTTATGTATACGGGAGTGTTTTGTACTTTACTCACCTATGTGCTTGTGACGATGATAGTGAACCAGTCAGTTACGGACTACAGTGTCTGGCCAAAAAAAAAGACGTGAAGAAAAAAATAATGTTTCATTTCTTTTTCCAGATTGGTATAATTTTTTTTATGGAACCGAGATTGATGAGACGCTAAGATAGACCAACGTCTGTAAAGCACATTATTGTATTGTAAATGTACCTGAACCACTCTTTACACTCAGATTCAGTCCAGTTGGTCCCAGTCTTTGACTGTGGCCACTTGCTGCATCACTTCTCCAAAAGGACACCCTTTTGTTTTTTTGGCCAGTCAGTGTATTTCACAGGATGTGATATCTATCTCTAGCCGTTTTTTCTAGTTTGTTTTTGTTTGTTTTTTTTTGTTGTTTTTTGTTTTTGTTTTTTGCTGCTATGACCTCTGCAAACCCATGTTAAAGGGTCTGTGTCATTCTTTCCATTCCAGATAGAGCAACATGACAAATATTGATGTCAATAATCTTGAATCACTTTATTTTAAATCCCGATTAAAAAAGAAAAAAAAACAAACTGACTCCAGAATTTAAGTTGTGTTTTTCCAAAGGTGTGAGCATCTATATCTTCCATATATGTAGATACCAAAAATGTACATACCTTATATAGAAATGCACTTTTTTTTTACTTTTGTCATTTTAATAATTAGAAGAAAATAGCAAACTTACAATGACGTTGGTTGTTTTCTTCAGGCTCAAAAAGGATTTGAAAACTCTCAAAAGTTTCAAACATTACTTTGTAAAACACATCAAATGGAAACTTTGGTCCTTGCTCTGTTTTTTTTCTTTCCCTTTTTCCTCTGTCTGTCCCTTTCAACATCCGCATCCCATGGTACTTTGACCTTTGAGATTTTCTGCCAACATCAAAGATCATTTTCACACACTGAGCTTGACTTTTTAATCACGTGTCCAGATGCCAGCTGTCACATTATCATGTTGCAAAATAAGCAAATTGAATAAGGGAAGCATATGTCAATATAATACAGCTAATGGCTCTATTATATGTGTTCATGCTATCTGGTTGCCATACCCACCCCCTGTCTGTTCTGCCTCCGTTTTCTATTCGTTCTGAAACGCGTCTTTACCAGATGTCCGAAACGGCTGCTGATGGCTGCGCCTGCAAGGTTAAACAACACCGACGACGGTTCCCCCGGCTGTCTGCAGATGAGACGGATTATCTGAAGATCCAAAGACAAAAGATTATTTTCTGTCTTTGGAAGCATTAAGTGGTGCTTGGGGCTGAAGTCCTCATTTAGACTTCATTCAATCAAAATAAAGTTAAGTGCGCTCTGCCTGAAAGTCTGAACATTATTTATTTTTTTGTTTCTTTTTCCTTGCAGACATCGTAGTTTTGGGGTCTTCATGGCCCGCTGCTCTCATTGTACGATAAAAGGTAAAATGTCCAAACTGCACAGATCCAATCACAACATTTTCTTTTCTTTTTTTTTTTTATTTTTTAGTTTGATCAACAGAACTTCTCTTGTAATGATCAAGAAAGAATCCTTCATCCCCTGCTTTGCCTTTGACTGTTTCCATGATTATGTTTACTGGTGATGCATACCGTGCACTATCGAAAACATCTGGAAGAAAAAAAAAAGTGAGCCGTAATGTGAGAGATGAAACCCACTTTGTGTTTTCAGAGGATGATGAGGCAGTTAGTTCTCATTTGACAATTTAACAGGAGGACATGAGTTCTTTTTTCATTACTTCTAAATTGCGTGTTTGAGTGTGTGAGAATGGAGGGTCGAGGATAGGCTCCTGACCCCACAGGATCAAGGATCATGCGCGCAGGAGCGCGCCGCACACCGCAGAGCTTTTCAGACCCAATGGCTGCTGTTGTAACACGGAAGGTGGAAAAAAAAATTGGCCACTGATTCCGTGTCCAGAATGCTCCGCTTTTGTTCTCTGATTATTGGAAACACATATGGTGGCTCAACTGTTTACACTTGAGCTGCTTAAGCTCTTTGTTGCATGTTTTTCCTTTTGTCCAAATGCAGGAGACAAACTGTCCGCTAACAGTTGTTTGGGGCGAAGCCGTTTTGTTGCGGTCTGAAAGTCCACTCAAATCCCAGAAGACTTAGTGTTGCTGGGAAATGTGATGCTGCTCCACAGCCAAGGCCAAGGTCAAGGGCATTGATGTTGTCCTGCCGTGGATCTAAATAAGAGGTTTTAAAAGCTACAAGAAAAATCCCAACCAAAAGAAGACGATAGAGAACGAACGACAGGACAAATAGACATTTTCGTCTTCTAGTTTTTGTATTAAACTTTCTTGTTTTTTGTTTTTTGTTTTGTTTTTTCCTCTGAGGTGAGGAGTGGAGGAGGCTGGAGAAAAATGTGACAAAGATAAAAATCCTACTTTATAAGTTATTTGTAGATTTTACCAGACAAACAATAACTGCTTTTGACAGCAATTATTTCCGAAGCAAACTTTCAAAATTTTTTCAGAACACTTGATTTTTTTTCTCCCCAACTAATTTTGAAAAAACCATCGCACAATTTCAGCAAATAAATAAATAAATAAATAGAGCATCGCAAAAATGTCAAGTACACCTCATCATTGGCACATTTATTGATACAAAAGTGAAGTGAACATTGACTTAAAGTTAGAAGCACATGACATTTTGCGACAATGCAGAAACTCATGCAAAAGAAACCTCAACCAAGCATTGACTGTCAGGAAATGGACATTTTTATGCCAAAGTGAAATCCCCTAGTATTAGTAAATAAAGCAGAATCTATAGTAATAGTATAGCAACAGATTAAATGTGATGTATTAAATGTGAACAAATTTTTTACATAACAATAAATTTCTGAAAAGAATGACAAAACTGGACATGAATGCCAAAAGACATACAGTCGTAGTCCATCTGTTTATTACGTAACAGATGAACTTTGTGTTCATCGATATTCCCGACAAAGTTTTGTCTTTTCGTAGATTAGCTGAAATATGATTAAAACGCTTGTGGAGAAAAACACATTTTAACTCTGTTCAATTCACTGTTATCTTCATCAGAACAGATCCACATCACATTCAATCATGAACTCAGGGTGAGAAATGAAGTCCCTAACTTTTAACTCTGGTATTTAATCAAAATAATTCTGACATGTAAGCTGCAAATGTGACTTACCACATTGTGGGAACTTCCTTCTTTTATGCTTCGTTTCACAACAAATTATGAAAAGAAGCACAATTTGCTTCTTCTCACAAGTTGATCAAGCCTAATGACGCTTGTTCATTAGGCAGATGCCCAAGAGAATATGTTAGATATGTGTTGCTATAGCGGTCGTCTTATCTTTGTTCATTCGGAAGCAGTATTGTTATTATTGTCACTATTCATGGACTTTGGCGCAAATTATTCTTAGCTTTATATATCGTTCCGTAGAAACGCTGCTGCTGTAACATCATTCTCTTTTTGTTTTCCTTGTTTTGGAAATTGTTCTTGAGGTAATGAGACATTTTCTGTGTGCACCTACTAGACATTAACACAATTTACCCTTTGTATAAATTCATATATAAGATTATTTAACTTCAGGCAACTTCATATTTGTGTTAGTTCTAAGAACTGACCTGTCATGTATTTAGAAATAAAATAAATTCAGTTAAGATGTTACTTTTTTTACTTTAAATATGCCCCTTTGATTGAGCAAATCAATAAAAGGCTACCAATTTTCAGTTAATGTTGGGGGGGCACACAAAATAATGTTGAGGGTTCAATATGACACCCTTGCTGATGTACCTGCTGCAAAACACGTTTGATATGTCTTTGAAAGGAAGAGCAATTATGTTTGCCTGTGAATAAGATCGCGTTTTATGTAAGCATCATCTCATTATGAAATAATGATATAACAATAATAGCATAAGGTACACACTGATGTACCATCTGTCAAGAAACCAATTGTTCCTCTTGTGAAATGGGGCAAAAACTACTGTCTTCTTATGAAATGTTATGATATGAAATGACATCAGATTTCTTCTCATGACTCTTGACGCTTTACCATAAAATATGTCAGTCCTATTCACACTCACATTCACAGGCTGATGATGGTGAGTTACTGGATGGTCGTCACAGCTGCTCTGGGAGAGTCAGACAGAAGCGAGGCGGCTACATCGCGCCACATCGGACAAAAACCGACAGCAAAGGCAGGAGGGGGGCTCGAACCGGCAACCCACCGATATAAAATCCATACGTGCAAAGCTAGATTAATGTGAGAGCACCACATCCAAGCGTGGGCACTGCGAAAGCTTTGAAATACTTCGCCGATCATCGTGCCACACGTCACAGACACGACTCAAGCTTATCTACAGAAATCTCAACCTTTAGCAATTAACCCTCTCTGACAGCTTCATTTGCATCTGTTTGTACCTATATGCTTGAGCTTTGTAATGTGTGACTACAGCATGTTTAACCCAGAGGGTGCTTCTCTTTGGGATTATAAAAATACATGTGCACACAAAGGGAGCTATTTGAATGTCCTTTTCTGATTCACACCAGGAGGCGTAACCGTTTCCCAGGCGTTGTTTTCTTTCGTTTTTATTTTTTGTTTTTTGCAGAAACCCATTTCTTGGCCTCGGATGAAAGCACTGTAGACTGTGAAGGTTGATGGCTGTCATCTCATTAATCATGTTTTCAGGGGGAGGTCTGCCTGGTGGATGCCTCGCTGCTCAGGCGTGTCTCTCCACGAGCCAAACACTCTTAACACGTAAATGTTGAAATCCTCTTTTGTAAACCAATTTTGATATTGTTTTCATTTTTGTTCCTTTAGATTGAGAAAATGAGTCACTCTGCCGCTTTGAAGGCTTTGATACTTTGATGGTTGTCTTTTCTCTTTTTTTTTAACTTAATAGTTTAGAAAATGGCATACTGTATTTACATGGAAACTGTTTTTAACTGTCACTGATGGCAGAGAAGAAAAAGAGTAAACAGGACGAAGAAGCTGGGATGACCAGCTACAATCCACATGAACGATCTTGTATTCCTGTGACGGTTGATCGAAATGCTTTTACCTCCAATGATGAAAACATCACAATGGGATGAAAACATTGGAACGAGCTGGGGCTTAATATTGCAGAAGAAAGAAAGAATGAATGGAGTGTGAACCGCAGATGCGAACAGATGACGGAGGTCTGATGGCGCCACTCACTGCAGGCGAAGGGTTAAAAGAACGAGAAGGAGACAGAGACAGATGCAAAGCTGCCCTGTTGAATACCTTGTTTTCCTGTTTGTGGCAAAAGCAATAACCTCTGCAATGCCACGCCTCAGCACATCGCAGCAGGCAGTTTACCCGTGACCACAGGATGTCTGTCCGATCTGAAGGTTAAAGTGAATAAAGAAAAAATTACCAAAAATAGCTGAGACACTTTGATACCATTTTGCATCACTTTTTTATATCCTTTTTCTGTTTCAGTGTTTTCTTTGTTTTTTGTTCTTTGCTTTTTGTTTCCTCTGGAATATACACCTGGGAAATGTAGATTCCCAAGGGAATATACGCTGAAGCTTCTTTTGTGGCCCTATATAAATGAACAGAAACTAATCCTGCATAGGAGATAAACACAGTCCATAGTCTTGTCCATATTAAGAAGTAAAGAAGAAAAAAGGTAAAAAAAAAAAAAAAAAGGCTGAGGGAAGTGTTTGTTGGATGAGGTGACGTTCAGAAAAGTCTTGCCAAATTCTGATCACTTCAGTTGATTTTTGTTTTGTTTTTTGACATTGTTGGTCAAAATGACAGACAATGAAAAAGTCAAGCTCGACCTCTGCTCCAGAGACGAGCAGATAATATATTGATGATCTCTGTTCATAAAATAAATGAATGAATAGTACATTGATGTATACACACTGGTGCTAATACACCAATGTATACTACCACCACCATCTGTTATGAAGTGTTGTTTAGTCTTTGAGTTGCACTGCAGTGCAACACAGGAGGAAAATCCAGCAGAAAACTGGCATTGCTTCATCTTTATGAGTGAGTATATGATGCTGATATCAGGCCTGATATCGACATCAGACACATGCCACTTAAAGCTGGCTTTTGCCCCCATTTAAACTACTTTTTATGCAATTGCTTGGAAAAAGCGCAACCAAAATTTGTTTATATTTATGCAAATGAAAGCCAGACCAAATTGTTTATCATTGTTTAAAAACGGCTTTTCAGTTTTGGTGATTTTGGTGTAAGAAAAGAAAAAAAAGGTTAAAAAACACACACACACACACAACACATATAT